AATTTCATGGTGAATTACTTCAACCACTTTCATCAGGTGTGGGTTAAACGTAGGCGGTGACGTGTGGTTAAGTCACAAACCATGCAAAAGTTTGGACGTGTGTGGAACTTCCAGGAGTGTGTCCTCGCACGTGTCACCAGGGCAGCTTACACGTGCGCACACAGAACAACTTGGGGAATTAACATCACAGCCTCGGATTCTTATTTACATTTAAGACCCCTACCTTCCTTTAATTTGACCATTACTTTTTCCATCCACCCTCTTTCTTTTAGCTCCAAGAACTCTCTCTCTCTCTCTCTCTCTCTCTCTCTCTCTCTATATATATATATATATATATTTATACACACATATACTTGTTTCACGAACAATACAACTCTCTCTAGAGAAACAAGCAAGAAGAAGAAGGGTTTTGATCTTCTTTCTTGTTTTCTCTCTCTCTATATATATGGCTGTGATGGGGAAGAGATGCAACATTATGCATGGGTTGAAGCCAACGATAATGATGGTGGTGGTCCAGATGGCAAATGCAGGAATGAATATTTTCTACAAACTTGCAGCAAATGATGGAATGAGCATGAGGGTTTTGATTGCTTGCCGATTTATATTCGCTGCTGCTTTTGTAGTCCCTCTTGCTCTCTACTTTGAAAGGTTTTATAAATTATAGCATTTCCTTATATATATATTTATATATATATTTATGTATATATACGTAGAGTCATAATTTGTTGTTCAAAAGGTAATTTATCAAATTTATGCAACAAGAGTTATTACCTATTAACAAAATAAATAAGGGCGAAGATGCGGTGAAAATGAGACCCTTTTAACCCGCGTTATCACTAACCACCCACTCGTAATGCCGACTACGATAGACTGGATTTTTTTTAATGGTAATTTACTTTTTATTTTTAAGTTGGACCAATTTATGTAAGCAAGAACTGATATCATCATGATGTTATGATAATATTAGTATTTGATCTTTGATTTTTAGATTCTCTATCATTACTTTTTATTTTTTAAATGAGAGATTGGTTATCTACTTTAGAAAGGAGACAGTAGAATTCTATTGTTTATCGTGAGCACGATATCAAGACTTTGTATATGAATATGTATATGTCTATTTTTGAAATTTTTTTTTTTAACTTTATTTTTATTTTAAGTCCTTTAATATTCACAGATTTCACATCTGGATATTATTTTTACTCAGCATTTACTTTCTGAATTCCTTTTTTTATTTATTTAAATTATAGTTCACAGCTGAACTTAACAACTTTTGCTAGTCTGTTGTCTAATAGAGTGGTATGGCTAAATGGTCCTAAAGAATTTAGAAGGTTCCCCACTTTGCTCTATTACTATTGGATCTTTCCCAATTACATATATCTTAAAAATAAAAATGTTCTATGCATTTGAAAATTTTAAAAATATAAATAATAAAAATAAAAAATTTTCTTGGACAAAAAGCTTTTTTATATATGTATGTGCGTCTGTATATATATATATGGTATAATATTAGTGTTTTAACATGTTATTAATTGATTTTGTTTTTGCAGGAATAGTAGGCCAAAGCTGACATGGATGGTAGTGTTCCAAGCATTTCTTTGTGGGTTATTTGGGTGAGTTTAGTGGTTATTGTGTCTACATGCACATATAGATTAAGTAATCTCTATAGCTTAATTACTTAGCAACGCAATATCTATTAATAGCCATATATATCTTGATAAATTAATTTCACTCATTACACTTTTTTTCTTCTAACTAGTGACGTCTCTTAGACTCATAAAATCAATCTCTAATTATATATATATATATATATTTTTTGGCTATGTACCCCAATCTCACTCCACAAGAAGTAACAAAGAGTTGTTAGATTTTTGTAATCACAACAATGCGGGTACATACGTTATTACCTATTTACACTTGTTTTCTTCTGGTTAGAGTCTTAAACTAATCAGAGCAATATCTAATTCTATATATATTTTCTTCTGGTTAGAGTCTTAAACTAATCATAGCAATATCTGATTCTTATAGTTAGAGTCTTAAACACTAATCAAAGCAATATCTAATTAGAGTCTTAAACTAATCAAAGCAATATCTAATTAGAGTCTTAAACTAATCAAAGCAATATCTAAGACTCCAACTACAAGAAAACAAGTGTAAATAGGTAATAACGTATGTATTTATATAGCTATGTAACCCAGTCTCACTCCACATGTAAACAAACCAAACTGTTGGTTTTTTGAGTTAGAATAAAGAGTGTTCGAATATAATAAAATCATGATAATATTATTTCTTACTCGTATAAAAAAAAAAAAAAACTCTAATGTATATAATTCTTCGAACTACTTATTATTATTATTATTTAGTTAATTACTAAGTAATCATTCTTTGCAGAGGATCGTTGGCTCAAAACTTATACGGTCAGGCCTTAGTCTTAACCTCAGCGACAATTGCTTCTGCTATGGGCAATCTAGTCCCTGCCATCACCTTCGTCATGGCCATATTATTTGGGTACGTGTATATACATATATATAAACACCAGTATATATGTCACGTGACTCACATGCAATGTATTGAATGATAGCCGTCTCATATGGGCTAAATGGGCGGTCCAGGTTGGAGAGGTCGGGATTTGGTATGGCTACAGGGAAAGCAAAGTTGGTAGGGACAGTAATAGCAATAGGTGGGGCCATGCTGCTCACGTTCTATAAGGAGTTGAAATCAACATCTGGTCAACGAATTTTGACCTTTTGCATCATCATGGACACGTGGCATCACAGGGGCACCTAGAGTCTGGTGATCGTGTGTTGGGTGCTTTTTTGGTTGTGTGCAATTGTTTCTCTCGTGCATTGTGGTTGATCATTCAGGTCAGGGGATCTTGCAAGAAATTCTCTAGTGATATTCCCATATTGCCCTTCACTAATATTTCTATTTCCATTGTTGGACCAGGCTAAGATGGTTCAGAAGTATCCTTGTCACTACTCCAGCGCTGCTCTGATTTGTGTAATGGGGACAATCCAGTCAACTATTTTTGCCCTCTGCACGGAGAGAGACTGGAATCAATGGAAGTTAGGTTGGAACATCAGACTGGTTACAGTAATTTACGCAGTATGTTATTTTGATGAGACATGAAACATGGGTAGTTTCAAGAAATTTTAAATTTAAATTCATATTTTTTTTTTTATGTTAGGTCGATATTCGAATTGAAATCATATTGATATAATCCATCTTGAATAATACTTGTCTCATAATACATGAGACCTTTTTGAAATTAAATTGAATTGAGTTAATTTTTGAATGAACTTGTTCCAATTCATTCCCTAATTAGTTGGCTAATTTGATGATTGTGGAATTGTGTTGTAGGGAATCGTGGCTTCTGGACTAACGACTATACTCACTGCATGGTGTGTACGCATGAGGGGTCCACTTTTTGCATCAATTTTTAATCCTTTGATGCTTGTGCTTGTAGCAATTGCTAGTTCCTTGCTTTTGGATGAGAAACTACACTTGGGAAGGTAAATGTCTCTTGTAACCCCGCAAATTAAGTACTATTTGGATTACACGATTTTATTAATTCACTAAACACATGCCACCCTAGGTCTTAAAGTCCTATTTGGATTACAATAAGTCATTTAACATGTACTTTCCATGATTAACATAAAGTCCTATTTGGATGAAATAAATATACTAGTTCACTCAACACATGCCACCTTAGCTGGTAAGTCTTGCTTAGATGACATGAATTCATTTAACATGTAATTTTTGTGTTTTAACAGCATACTAGGAGCTGTACTGATAGTGTTCGGATTGTACATTGTGTTATGGGGACAAGGCAAAGAGATGAATAGAAATTCTCAACTCATGCCATCCAAAAGCTCAAAAGAATCCGATTGTATCAATATCATCATCGCCTCTTCATCAGAAAACAACAATAACAACAGCAACAACAAAAATGACAATATTAGTAGCAACGCGATGGAGGTTAATCCCAAAATCCCTTCCAATAATGCATAATATATAATATTTTAACTTAAAATGTCTTAATGGTAAAGAATAAGGGTGGTGAAGGAGGAGATGAATATCCAAGTCGAATAAGAATGTGTAGACCTGTATATACAGTATATGTTATATATCTGTGTGTATGATATATATATATATATATATATATATATATATATATATGTATGGGCTTTTATATATATGTGTGTAATACGTACTTAGTACCATGAATTATAGGAAATTTAGTACCATTCCAATTGCCCATAAATTAGGGTTTTTTTTGTTAGGGTTGGAGATGCATGGCATACATTGTTTTTGTGTAGTGGTTCTCTTTTCGTTGTACTAATACTTACTTTATCCTATAAATGAAATTTTAGTAATGATAAATTTAGATGTTGTTTTAATGTTGCTCCAACTTAATCTGCAACACGTAATCGTAAAAATGGAATGTATGTTATTGACAACTTTGGATGTTAACTATTAATTTTATAATAATGTTGTTTTAAATTTGTAACATGTGATGGAATATTAGGATCCATATTGATTAAAAATGATTTGAAGACCAATGGATTTGTAGTGAATTATTTGAAAAAATAGATTTTGATTTTCATTATATTTGTATCCGCAAATGATTTTGATGATTTATCAGTATCATTTTTCTAACAAAAGTTGGGGTACCTAGGACTGCCGAATATTACATTCAGAAGGGAATTTAATTCAAATGTGATTTTTCATATTGCTCCTTCATAGATTTGGTATTGTGCCCTTTTTTTTTTTTTTTTCGAAAGGTAAAGTTAATTTATAAATAAAGAAGGAAATTACAATAAAGTTTAACAGTTAGCCCATTGCTAAGAGAACAACCAAGCCAGAGCCCAAATAGCCCAAAAGCATAACACATTGCTATAAATGAACAACCAGCCTAAGTGAAGAGGCCCAAGACGAACACATTGAAAAAGAAGAAGAGCTCAATCATCAATAGGAGTGTGATCAATGCTTCAATACTGCAATTAGCATAAGGAATAAGACTCCAACAGTGCACTGAGCACACATCTTCTAGGATCAGGTGGCTTCTTTGCAGGTCGAATCACTGACTCTGGGAGTTCCCATTCAGTAGCAACTCTATTAACAATGAAAGTGTCAGAGATTGTTGATGAGAGAATTTTGGAACGGATTGCCTCTAAGGTGATGTGGAGCAAAGAGTTAGCACTGCGAGCATTCCTCTTGAAGATTCTCATATTCCTCTCAATCCAGATGTTATAGACAAGAGAAGCCAATGTCATTTTTGAGACTGTGTTGCTGTGGTGATCAGAAATTCCCCTACAATGAAACGATGCCCAAGCAATGAGCTGAGTCCAGGAAATAGGCTGTATATAGAATCCACATCGAGCCTGTAGAAATTTCCATAGAGGCTGGACAAATGAACAACTAAAAAACAAGTGATCATAAGATTCAGGTTCAGCATTGCACAGGATACATATTGTGGAGTTAATGTGTGCTGTACACCTTCTATCCAGAGTAGGCAACTTCTGCTGAATTGCAACCCATAGGGTAAAGGAGTGCTTAGGAATGGATGACTTGAACCATACAAGATGAGTCCAAGGTAAAGTAGGGTACTGCAGGTTGTAGTGATCCATGGTTTTTGTAATGGAAATTGGCTAGACTTGGATGGAATCCAGATGTATTTGTCAATGCAATTGGGCTTAGGATTAGGCAGTGAGGAGGTGTCCAGTAGTTATGGCAATAGGTTTGTAATAGATTGTGGGAAGGACCATGAGTTGTTGCTAATGAAAGTGTTCACTTTAGTCATGCTGTCAAATCCAGTTGAAGTGATCTGTTGAGGTAGTATGTGTTGATGCAGAGGACTATGTTGACACCATTTGTCAAACCAGAAATTAGATGAAGCTCCATCACCAATTTCTAACTTGACAAGAGGCTTGATTGAGTCCCTAAGCCCAGGCAATGTCCTCCAAGTCCAAGAACATTGTCCAGGCACTTTAACCTCCCAAAGACTTCTGCCTTTAAGAAGGTATGTGTGGATCCATTTGACCCACAATATATCCTTTGGACATAGAATGTTCCAAAAATGCTTCATGACTGCACTTTCATTCCAAATTTGCAAGTTTGGCAGACCAAGACCTCCAGCTTTTTTGGGGATACAACACTTTTCCCAAGCAACTTTGGCAACAGTCCTTTTTAGATCAGGTCCAGACCACAAAAAGGCAACAAATATGCTTTCAAGCTCATGAAGAATACTCATTGGTAAAGTAAACTTAGAGCTAAAGGAAGCTGAAGATACACAAGTTTTAATCCAGTCCAAGAACACAGGAGGGAAACCTAGAAGCTTTAAAGAGTCAAATAGATAATCCCAACAAACTGTGTCAAAGGCTTTCTTGATATCTAATTTGATCCCATGACATTTTGGCTCTGAATTTTTTCATTAAAGGTCCAGCCCATAGGAATTTCTGAAGAACTTGATTTATATGGGTACACACTTTAGTAGACAGTATGAACAAATTAGTCCAATAAATATGTATACTATGCGTTGCATTGAGATGGGTGGTGGATAACATGGTGATGACATCCCCTCACCGGAGGGGATGGAACTGGTACATTGGATGATATATTCCCTCTAAGATGAGGGAATTCCAGAATCATATGACACAGGCAGTATTGAGTCCATATTCATATGACAATTAACAGGAGGATGCAAAGAAGGATGATGATGAGCATAAACAAGATGTGAAGAGTAACTTACCTGGTTGTGGGAGATATCCTCACCATTATGCACACTGCTGACAATTTGATTCTGAAGGTGATCAATGATCTTCATGAGATTGGAGTTTTCCTTTTGCGGCTCAGAAGGATGCTTGACATCCTTAAAAGCTTGGATTTGTTCATTGAGTTTCTTGATCTGTGCCCTCAAACTCTCTTTCTTTCCTCTGTTTGGTTGATGAAATCTCCGAGCTCTAGCTACATCATGGTTATTGTGTGGCTGGACTTGCTTGACTTTCTTTCGTAGTAGCATATTGTCCCTCTACAAAATATTGATAAACTTCTTCAATTACGGAGAGCTCCTTGGCATAGGCATTGAGCCTAACATTTTGTTCATATGCATAGGCATCCTCATCCTCTTCATCTTTATCATCGTCTGGGCTTGGAGGAGCAGGATCAGTGGGTTGGTCAACAGGGATAGGATGAACTGGTGATGCTAAAATGGGAGAAAATATATGGTTTGTCTGGTGGATTATAGGCTTATCATGTGGGGGTGAGATTGAGGTGGATGACATAGTAGGTTCACATTGGATGAGGTAGGAGGTGGTGGTGGTAATATTATTATTCTAAATTTGTTTGGTAACACTGTTACTTAAAACATTTTTATTAGTAATTTTACTAAATTATTCATATAACAATAAACATGAGGATTACCCAAATAATAATATTATAAAATTCCATTAAATTTCGCACCAAGAGACACCAAACATATGGGTGTCGTGAAAATTGAGTAAGCCGACCCTTCAGGCTAGGGAGGCGTGTCCCAACCCAAGTGGTGCTCTTTTCCCAATTATGCAAGGGATGCTCTGTTTCTGCATATTTTTGTTTTTATTTTTTATTTTTCTACTTGGCAATGGGAGAGTTAAGAGTTTGTGGAAGCTAGGGGGAGGAGATTCAAACCCGGGTCACTTAAGATCCGACTCCTTATCACTATGATAACACTGTTACATTTAGTTGTTACATTTAGTTGTGATAGATTTAAATTTAGAAACATAAGATGGGGCCACTTAAGATTTGACTCTTTATCATTTTGACAACACTGTTACACTTAGTTGTGATTTTTATCCTTTTAATGTTTAAAAAAATAAAAAATAAAATTAACATTGTGATAGTTTCTTCTTTTCTTACTAGGAATAGGTTTTTCCTTTCTTTACTTGGAATAATAACTATGTGATATTCAAGAATACATAATAATCACATTATAGTTGAGAATTCGATGGCAGCAACTTTATTGTAGTAACTCAGACTAAAATAATTAGCCCAAATAAGCACGACCAAATCCATGTTGAATTTTAACAATCTGTGCTTGATAAACGGGTAATACAATTACATCGAAGCTACAAACGGGTATACAATTACATCGATGCTACGACCATTCATGACATAGATACTAATGATGAAGTACTAACGGGGCCGGCCCTTGGGTGGTGCAGGTGGTGCCACCGCACAGGCCTCCAATTTTAGTGGGCCCCCAAATTTTTTTGTGAGCTCATATACTCCTATATAGTATATATAGTGTAAAAAATATTTTATTTATAAAATGAACTGCAGCTCAGTTGGGGATCGGCCCCATGTTTATACAGATTCTTCTTAATACAGCGCACTTGTAACTAAATTTATAATTTTTATTTTTTATAAACTTAGGATCAATCTGAGTGGAAGAGAGTACAACCTAGTCTGGCTAATGTAGCCCATACAACTCAATCAAGCCCGCCCATTTGCAACTTTGTATTGTTTTTATAAACTTAAGCTGAGTGGAAGAGAATATGATATATTACTTTAACCTAAAGGAGAGATTGAACTTAAAAGAGAGGGGTCAAAGTTTATACCCAGCGCACATGTTGATTTCAATTGAAAATGAACTTTTACAAAAGCCTGATTTTGAAAGTTTAATTGAAAATTTTGTATGTTTAATATTAATTGCACTCCTTGCCTTTCCTTTTTTTTTTTTTTGGTGAAAGATCCCGTAATAGTTTCAACTCTTCAAATAAAAAATAGGATAGATAACAAGTTATGATGAGAATAATTTTTTGATACTTTTTATTCTGGTGGTTCAAGTGACTAGTGAATTTTGTAAACTCTTGTTGCGTTTGGTGTATAAGAATGGAATGGAATGTCCATTCCAATTATTTCTTTATTTGATTTGCAATATAAAGTCGGAATGACTATTTCATTGGAATCAAAATCCATATCTGAAAATGAAAATACTAAACTTATGAAATTGTCATTCCATTTCCAAATAAATTTTTTCAAAAAATTACTTCCCAAAAAATTTGATAAATTTCGGTTATAAAACTTACTTTATGGGATTAATTTAATCACAATAATTTTTATTTTTATTTTTTTTTGTATTAAGCAAGAGTGAAACTACGTTAAGTACGATCCCAATTTATTTTTGGAACAGGGCCTCATAAATGAAAGTAAACTCGTATGAAGTCGTTCTATAGTTGGAAGTAAATAAAATTTGTTCTGAGTTTCTTAAAACACATGACCAATTTTGATGGTTGCCGAAGAGGGGTCATACCAGATACGACGAGAACAGTGGCGGTGAGTCTCAATGTATGTCTTTTTTTTTTTTCTTTTTTCACCGTTAGAAAAGCTCCCACCGGAACATACAAACCCATCTGCCTGAGTTCCGACGGAGAGCTTTCTCTGAAACAACCTGACCATGGACATACACTGCTAAGGGTCACTTGCTGTCCGTTATCAATGGCTATTCAATTTGAATGAGCAATGGGCAAATTGTCTTTTGGTTTTACAGGCTTATTAACATATTGATATATTGCTTGATTTTCCGGAAAAGAAAAGAAAAAAAAAATTTTAAATCTATAATTTCAAAAATAATATATTTTATGAAATGTTGAGGATATATTAATAAAATTATTATTTAATGTGGTTTATTATACTTATTATTCATTTTATTAGTGTATTTTATTATGGAAATAGCACAACCTCGGATTCTTAATTACATTTAATACCTCTCCAGTCGGGCATTTTCTTCATATTTCACAAATATTTGGGCATAAAATTAGAAAATAAAATTTTATGGGACCCAACTAAGAGGAAACGTGCTCAGACTCTCTTAGCCTTAATGAGAAATTATTATATTGTACCAGAATCATTAATCCCTACCTAATCACAATGGGATTAAATAATTCCAAAAAATTTGTTTATGTGTTTTGACCGGGATCATATAATAATTTCTCATTATGTTGCTTTATATATATATATATATACTCGTATGCTTTTTTCAAGAACACCACATCTCTCTCTTTCTCGAGAAACAATCAAGAAGAAGAAGGTATTGATCTTCTTGCTTGTTTTCTCTCTCTAGAACTCTCTCTGTTTCTCTCTCCATATATGTGTGCGTAGGGGGTTGTGAAGAGCATTTGGAGAATAAAAACGTGGCTGTAATGGGAAAGATATGTAATGCTATACATGGTTTGAAGCCAACGATGATGATGGTGGTGGTCCAGATGGCATATGCAGGAATGAATATTTTCTACAAACTTGCAGCAAATGATGGAATGAGCATGAGGGTTTTGGTTGCTTACCGATTTACATTCGCTGCTGCTTTTATAATCCCTCTTGCTCTCTACGTTGAAAGGTTTTATTAATTACTATTATTTCCTAATTTTCTTTTCTTTTTTTTAATATTATACACACATGACACATGTATTTATGTATAGAACTTTTTTTTATAAAAAAATCTAATTTTGTTTATTTATTTTAAATTCATTGATATTCACAGAATTTCAACATCTGGGTATTAATTATTATCAACATATACCTTATAAATTCCTTCTTTTATATTTAAATTTTTAGTTTACATCTGAACTTAAAAACTTTTAGAGGCTTCTTCACTTTGCTCTATTGCTATTGGAGGTAATTACATAGATCTTAAAAGAAATTCATAAAGTTCCATGCATGTGAAATACTGAAATGTACCCAAAAAAATAAAAATAAAAAATTTACTTTGACAAAAAGCTTTTTATACTTTTATTATATATATATATATATATATATATATATATATATATATATACTATTATGTTAATGTTTTAACATGTTATTTGATTTTGTTTTCGCAGGAACAGTCGGCCAAAGCTGACATGGATTGTAGTGTTCCAAGCATTTCTTTGTGGCTTATTTGGGTATGTGTGTGTGTGTATATATATGGTTTATTAGTTATCGTGTCTAGATCACGGATATACATTGATTAAGTAATTTCTAGGTTAATTACTTAGCAACGGAATATCAATAAATATCCATATATATCTTGATATATAAATTTCTCAAATTATACTTGTTTTCTTCTGGCTATAGTCTTAGACTAATCAAAGCAATCCCTAATTCTGTATGTAATCTTATCTCACTCCACAAAAAGGAACAAAGAGTTGGTAGATTTTTGAAATCACAACAATGCATGTAAATAAGTTACCACCTAAATTAAATGCTTTGACTATAATAATATAAAATTTCCACCTCTTTATTTTTGCTGTCTCAAAATTATGACTTCAATTCGAAATTCAATGTAATATATTTTTTAATATTCAAAATCTATTCTCATTACTATCATTATATTGAAGTAATAAAAACATGTAGATTACCATATTGGGTATATTTAGAAATTCATTAAGAAGTATACTCTTCCTAATGAGTTAGATTCCCGAAAAAAAAAGAGTCATTTTTGTGTGCCGTGGAAGGGAGTATAATTAATAGGAGAGTGGATATGATGTGCATCATCATGACATCGTGATGACGGTCATTCTCTACTCATATAAAACTATATCAATATATACGTGAACAATGCTTATCTCAGGCCACATAAGCTGGTATTCCTGTTTATGTTGATGTGGACATTCACAACTTGACACTTGCAAAAAAAAAAATTAAAAAAATTAAACATAGATCAATCGGATCTTTTTACGGGTTTTCTCTTAAGTGCAAGATTTTATCAGGGTATGTACGTTCTCTTTCTATCAAAAAGTCAAGAAAATTTTAGGAAACCATTACCGCCGCCAATCCCTCTATTTTCCCTTCTCATCACCACCAAGTTTCCTACTCTCCTTCTATTTCTTCTTTCCCTTTATGCACCACCAATTTCAACCGCAAGAAGAGAGGGACCAAAATATGTTCTTTTATTCTCCCAAATTTTTCTCCAATTCATCAATCAATATTGCTAATTCCTGATATTTATAAAAACCAGATTAAAAATAGAAAAGAAAATAATAAACTTTGGGAAGGATTCACCGCATAAACAGAAAAGACACCATAACCCCTTTGAATCGCAAATCAGTCTCTCAATCACCAATCTTTTTAGCGGACATCAAATCGGTGGTGTATAAGGGTACAAAGATTTAGGAAACCTTCTCCAAGGATTGGCCTCAAACCAGTCCAATTTCCGGAGGCGGGATTGGCCGCCAATTTCACACAAACTCTGTAATGGGTTTTGGATTTTTGAAAGCATATTTTGCACACTGATTTTTCGCAACGAAAAACTCCATCTTTTGCCACACCGAAACTCTAGCCATCGTCAAATCTCTCACACACGACTCAGTTCTGAATCCATCTCATGCAACGGACCACCTTCTTCTCTACTCCAAAATAGCCCGATATAACTCTCACCACAACATTTTCATGACCAGCAATGGATTCCGCTCCAAATAAGAAGATTAATTAGATCCTCTTTCCCTTCGGACCACCCGTAGAAAGATCCGTCTAGTCCTTTTTCTTTTTTTTTGACAAGTGTCAAGGTAAGAGTGACCCACGTCAACATAAGGAGGAGTGGCCTACTGATACAGCCTAAGGCAAGCTTTTTTCCTATATATAATGGGTTATGATACTTTATTATGTGATTGGTATGATGTATGTCATCATACCATCATCATAATGTCATCCCCATTAATATAAAAGAATTTGATGATTTTGGGAGTCATTTTCCAAGCACGTCCCATTCATGTTAGTGAAAATGACTGATGTCAAAATAATATCATCCATCAATCACATAAAAGGGTGGATGTTTTTGCACACTATATTATATCATTTTCCTAGTAAATTATTCAGCCATGTAAACAAAGCAAATTGTATATTTTTTTTTTCTTTTCTTTTTTGCAAGTAATTACTATTTGCCCTTTTTTTTAATTTATTCCCTCTCTTTTTTCCTTCTATTTTTGCTTTTTTGGCAGAGGATCGTTGGGTCAAAACTTATATGCTCAGGGCTTAGTGTTAACCTCAGCAACATTTGCTTCTGCTATGACCAATCTCGTCCCTGCCATCACCTTTGTCATGGCGATATCAATTGGGTAGGTGCATATATAAATATCTATATATATATACTGTAGACACATATGTCAAGTGAGTCAAGTGACTGTGTGAATGATAGCCGCTTGATATGGGTTTTGTTCCAGGTTGGAGAAGTTGGGATTGGGTACGACTGCCGGTAAAGCAAAGTTAGTGGGGACAGCAATAGGAATAGGTGGGGCTATGCTGCTCACTTTCTATAAAGGGGTTGAAATAAATATTTGGTCAACGAATATTGACCTTTTGCATCATAATCATGATAGACACGTGGCAGCACAGGGACACCCAGAGTCTAGTGATCGAGTGTTGGGTGCTTTTTTGGTTGTGTGCGGTTGTTTCTGTATTGCACTATGGTTGATCATTCAGGTCATGATCTTGCCAAGATTTCTCTAGTAATATTCCCATATTGCCCTTTACTAACATATCTATTTTCTTTGTTCGTAAATTATTTGTTGGGCTAGGCTAAGATGGTGCAGAGGTATCCTTGTCTCTACTCCGGCACCGCTTTAATCTCTGTGATGGGGGCAATTCAGGCCATTGGTTTTGCTCTATGCATGGAGAGAGATTGGAGTCGATGGAAGTTGGGTTGGAACATCAAACTAGTCACAATATTTTACTCTGTATGCTTTTCATTGGCTTTTCTAATTCGACATGAAACACATGTTATATTTGGTGGCACCAAATTCGAATTTTAGATTTAAATTTGTAAAAAATTTAATACAAATTTTAAATTAGACTTTCTCCAATTTTAAATCGAAAGTATCTATTCGATACTCCTAAATATAATAATAAAATTTTTTGTATTCTTCTATCCAAAAAAAACACGAATAAATTTGCATGTTTTCGTGGAATTGTGATATTGTAGGGAATTGTGGCTTCTGGACTAGTGATTACTCTAACTGCATGGTGTGTACGCATGAGGGGTCCACTTTTTGCATCAATTTTTAGTCCTTTGATGCTTGTGCTTGTAGCAATCGCGGGGTCTTTGCTTTTGAATGAGAAGCTACACTTAGGAAGGTATGTGCATGCCTCTTTCCACCCCCTTTAAAGTTCTGTTTGGATTACACAAATATATTAATTCATTTAGCACATACAACCTTAGTCCTTAAAGCCGTGTTTGGATCGATGACATGAATTCATTGTAACATGTAATTTTTCTGATTAATAGCATCCTTGGAGCTGTATTGATAGTGTGTGGACTGTACGCGGTGTTATGGGGAAAAGGCAAAGAGATGAAGAAGAATGTTCAACTCATGCCATCCAAAAGCTCCAAGGAATCAGAGCGAATCAATATCATCCTAGCTTCTTCATTAGAAAAAACCAACGACAATAAGAATGACAATATTAGTAGCAACGTGACAGAGGTTAATCCCTAAACCCTTCCAATAATACATAACAACATTTTACCAAAAATGTTGAAGGACAAGGGTGGTGAAGGAGGAGATGAATATACACCTACTTAGTACCATCAATTATAGGAAGTTGAGTTTTGGTAGGGTTGAAGATGGGTGACATACATTTTTCTTTTTCTTTTTTTTTGGTACGTATAGTAGTGTTCTTTTCATCGTAATAGTATTTACATTATCCTAAATATGAAATGTAGTGTAACAACTTTAGATGTTGTTTTATGGTAATGTTGCCCGAAATCTTCGACAAGCAAGAGTAATCGACAAGGGCATGTTTGGTAAGCGTTTTATTTTTGGTATTTTTATTTTTGTTGGATATTGTAGCAGTGAATAGTAAAATAAATGCATTTGGTAAAAAAAATTTAATTTTATACGGAAACGTTTGTGTATAATAGCCAAAATTCAAAACATCAATTTAGTATTTTTATATATTTCCACGTAACAACGGGTATTGTAACAAATATATATATATATATATATATAAAATAAAAATTGAAATACTCTAAAATGACCTTTTTTAAACGAGTCATTATATTTTTAAAACTTGCAACACGTTTTTTACAAATATGTTTTTATATTTTTGCTTTCAAAAATTTTGCAACAAATAGACATTACTAAACATGCTTCAAATTACTATTCAAAACATTATATAACAAGGCACTTTTGTGTCGTAATAAATAAATAAAAAAAAACACAAAAACAAAACGCATACCAAACAGGCTCTTAATTAGCAATAGTGTTCGTTTTATTCCGAAAAAGTCAAGCAAATTTTATAAATTTGGCAAAATGTACACCAGGCCAAAGCCCAAAGGAAAATGCAAAGAATAAAAACAAATGACCTCCATATGAGGCCCATCCACCTAACATTAGACAGTTTAAATTCAAATTTTAACAATATGAATGCATCTAATTAAAAGAATCGTGTGTAAATTTCAATAATAAGAATCGAATAATAATTATACTCTCCATGCTAACTATAATTATAAAAATATATAAATTTATACGTCGCATACCTCTAATGAAACATGATTTAGATCTTTGGATTCAATTTCAATAGCTAATATTTTTGTCATTTAAGTTTTTTATGGCAATATGGCCATTGTCTTTTAGAGGACAGGTTATAAGGTGCCTAGGGTCAATTTGATTTGTTGTGTGTACGTATTTATAGGAGACAAAGCACTTATTCGTTTTTTCCCTTTTCTTTTCCAAATATAGAAGAGATGAGTATTAAGGACTAATTTGGTGTGGATAAATGAATTGACGTGGGAATGGAATGCAAGTTAAAATGAAATAAGAATGGTGCGTGAATGAAATGATCATTCTCATTTCATTGTTTGCAGACCGATAATGAAATAAGAATGGAATGACTATTAACATTCATGTGTTTGGTTATACCAAATTAAAAGTTGGAATGGAATAAATTTTTTATTAATTTCTCCAAAATACCCTTTCGTGACACACTTTCAACTTCAGGTTTTCTTTCTTCTCCTTCAACATCCAAAAGAAAACATAAATATATGTATATGTAAGTATATACATGTATATATATGTGGGTATATATAGATATAACAGGGATAACAAGAAATTGAATCTAGAGAAATAAATCCTTTACAAGCAAATTAAAGCTTGATAGAAATTGAACCTAAAGACTGAAGTGTTCATTGCGCCCAAGCAAAGAAGGGAGTCTTCTCACTGTTCCGGCAAAAGTTCAGACCTTCGGCTTTCGTTAAAACCGGTGAACACTTAGACTTTCAACTTCCATTAAAACCGGTGAAACCCCTTCAGCTCTGGGCCAGCCTCTAGCAAATCTGCGAGTTGTATTCAAAGACTCAACGGTTCCGGTGAAGACAGACCCAGCTGATGCTCCATCACCATGAACGCCGGCGAGCTTCATTCAACCAGTGATTCAGATGTGAATTCTGAGCAGCAAAGGTATATTAATTCCAATGTGCTCCAGTTGCAGAATCTTCATCATTCTGGCGAGTTGCTAAGTTTCAGCTCACTCCGATGACCCACCAAAGTTCACATTCGAAGCTTAGACACTGAGCATCAACGATTCAACTGAAGCATCAATTCCACCGTCCTTCAGTCACGGCGACCAACAGTTCCAACAACCTTCGTGAACAGGTCCGGCGAGACCAGTGATCTTCACTAACCAAACCAAAAAGTTAGTCCGGCGAGTTCATTTTCAATGTGTTGTCCATTGAGAAAAGGAGGAAACCAGATGAGATGTATCAAAGGAGGCAAAGGGTTTTTTTGTCTTTTAAGTTATTAATTTAATTCTAATGGAATGGCATTCCACTAGTCTAAAAGTGGAATAGTGATTCTAACAAAATAATGGAATGAGCATTCCTAAGGAATTAGTTGGCATTCTCATTCCACTTTAAACATGGGATATCAAGTAAGGGAAAGGGAATAAAAAAGTAGAATAGGTATTTCATTCCATCTCATTCCACCACACCAAACATGCCTCAAAATTGGTAACATATATATATATATATATATATAGAGAGAGAGAGAGAGAGAGAGAGAGGGGCTAAGAAAACTACAAAAAAATTGGGCATTTACACAATTTATTGATTTATAAAAGGGTAAAGTGTAAAAAAAACCCGCACAATTTACAGACATAATGTGTAAATATCTAGTGTTAAAAAAAAACACTATATTATTGAATGAACAATACGTAAGTCTTCATTAGTGAGAATTTATACCATATTGACCGATGTGGTCCAATAATATATGGATATTTTGTAAATTTGGAGACAGATACTTAAAATGCCCTTAAGATAAAAAATAAAAATAAAAAAAAATAAAAAAACACTCAAGTGTGTGAGAGAGATTATTAGGGGAATTTTGGAATTTAAAAAAAAAAAAAAATGGTCAAAATTGACCGTCAACAAATATTAGGAAGCAATTGGTATATTTTTTTACATGCCATGATTTTTTTTACATGCCATGATTTTTTTTTTCTTTTCTCATTCACCTTACCCTTTATAAAACTAAGAATATATACATTGGCAATATCCAATGTTGGTAGATTTTAATGGTGCAATTGCAAGTTTGTAGAAAACATTCATCCCAGCCCAATCTGAGCCACCACCATCATTATCGTTGGCTTCAACCCATTTATATCATTACATATCTTCCCATCACAGCCATGTTCTTATTCTCCAAATGCTCTTCAAAACCCTCTACGCATATATGGAGAGAGAGAGAGAGAGAGTTCTAGAGAGAGACAACAAGCAAGAGGATCAAGTTTCTCTAGAGAGAGATGTGGTGTTCTTGGAACAAGTATACGAATATATTCTCAAAATTTTGAAAGGATCTAAACGAATTTTCAAATGTCAGATCCTTTATCCTTAAGGTTTCATACGTGAAATTTTTGTATAAGAGTGCGAAATTTTTATTAAAATTAGATAATAAGCACATAAACACCAAATAAAATAAAATAAAAAACATCGATCTTAGTGCTATACAAAAAACACGAACCAATTTACATCAAAAAGTTAAAAGTATCTTCAACTTCAAATCAAAGTAAATGTAATTATATTGAGCTGCAATGTAACGACCCGAAAAGATACCAAAATAATAATAATAATAATAATAATAATATAAAATTTCGGCATGACTTCCGCAGAAAAAGTCCCTCTATAACCTGTTGAAATATATAAAATGCAGACCTCACTTGGCATTAAACTAATCTATCGTGTCCCAATACACAATACAAATAATATACCACATTTCCAAAATAACCACATACATATAAAATGGTCTTGTTCCTCTATCATACTCAAACAAGGAATCACCAATTCACTATCTAGTCCCATAATTCTTTACAAGGAAGTACTTTAATTACATCAATTTACAGTCCATGAAATACAGTTGAAATCAAAGGTCCATAATTTACAACATTATACAAATTATACTAAAGTTTTACAGAATAGTCAAGATTTACATTTACAAAATATTAAAATTCTAAAACAAAAATAGCAAAATATAAACCTCTAATCCTGTCTAAACTTGTGGTGGATGGTAATCCGCCACCTCTTTTCCGTGTCTTAAAAAATATTAATAATAAAGGGATGAACACAATGGCTTAGTAGGAGATACCTAAGACACACCTCTTGTGACCTTGTGAATCCAAACAAGGAATAGGAAAAAGAACCGGAATCATCCTATTTCCGGGAAAAAAATATATATATAACCACAACATCAACAACAATAATCCAAATCATAAACGAACTATGTCATGCTCTGGAATACAATGTCATGCAACGTCGCTCCCCATTTCTATAACCTTTTCCGTCATCACTTCCAAACCGTTAGTGTAACCCATCCCATGGCAACTCTATGGCGGCACGAGAGAAGAATTAGCTACTGTCCCTGACCCATGGTAATCCCATAGCATCATTTGAGGCCCAGATAACTCAACCACGCTAGGAAAATCTCCCCAATTCCCTTTAGGACACACTAACGCTGCGACCTCTAGGTAACTCCTAGGCAGCCGAGTTTTTGCAAACCCTTTCAAAAAAATTTCTCCAAAACTTTTTTCATTTCCTTCAAAACACTTGAAATACCCAATGTCATGCATAAGTGCATCATGCCTTTTCTGTGCCATGTCAATATTCATATTATACATCTAATTCAAGCCTGAATCACTTAGCATGCTTTACAAGAAATACCTTAAACATACTATACTTTTTATTCAAAAATAATCTAGCAAGTTAAGCATACCAAACATGAAAATATTCCATATAAGCATGCTTTCTACGCAATACATCATCTACACATAGGAATTCACATAGTAATAAAAATCCTTGATGACAATATAATAATTTTCAAGAATTAATCCCAAATAAGCATGTTATAAATCCAATTATAGAGATAACTCACAGAAATCAAAGAGTTTTGTAGATTAGAGCACTCCTATCTCACTAGATAAAGAAAACTTCAATTCAGCCCAAAAAATTCGAAATCCCAAGTGCTCCAAAATGAAAATTGCTCCAATCAAGATAAAGCCCACGACGAGCTCTTTAACTTTGCTTTAAGTGGCAAAGTCTAATTCCCACTAGTTAAGCCTAGATTAAGGCTTGAAGTTTGTGTGAAAAAAAAAAAAAAAAGGTTACGAGGGAGAGAGATACAGACGGGAGGAGAGATAGAGAGAGATAGAATGGCCTGGTAATGGCCTTTGGCCATTTTAATGACCAAAATAAAAGGGGTGGGTCCCACGGATCACATAACCAATTCCATTTCTCAATTCCCAGTTAATTCGACTGCAACCTTCTTTTTTTTTTTTTTTTTTCCATAACCTTCA